TACTTATAATGTAGCCACCGGGATCCTTTATCCCGGCGTAGGATGGCCCACCCGGGATTCCGATCCCAGGGTTCAAGGTCGAGTAGGAAATCGAGTTCGAGCATCGTTTTATCGACTAACAAGATTTATGTAGTCTAGATACTTGTTCTATTTAGTCCCAAGAGATTGGTTTTGAGTCCTGTTCTATATTTATTTAAGTTTATGTTTGCCGCATCTTCTATGTATTATAGGCGCCTCTATTGTTGATTTAGACCTTTTTTTTAATAGCCTTTATTTATTTATTACGTTTTTGACAGATTTAAATAGTAAAAAGTGTGATATTAAGGCGTACAATTATATCCACAATTTTTATTTCTATTGAAATAGAAATCATATAGATTAAAATAACATAAATATTGCTTCAACGGCCATAGTAGCCATGTATTTTTATTTATTTATTTATTACACACGAAAATTGTACATTAAAAAGATATACAATTGAAGAGATTTGCAAAGGCGGCCTTATCCTAAAAGCGATCTCTTACAGGCTACCAATATTGACGAGCTTTGGTGTTAACAATACAAAAACAGTTTTTTTTCTAATAATAATATAATAATAATAAAATTTTGCATGATCCGAAACGCATCCATAATACGTCAGTCGAAAGTTAATATCAGTGTGGAAGTTTTTACACAAATATATATTACTTTTAAATAATATTTTGGTGTTAATTTGTAAAATAAGGTAAGTGTAGTTGATATATTACGTTAAAATATAATCTTTGAGATAGTTTGCAGTAATTTTATTTCCTAAATTCTTCAGTTAAATAGTATTAAATTGTTTTTTAATCTAACATTATGATCTTGTTTCAACCGACTTCAAAAAGGAGGAGGTTCTCAATTCGACTGTATTTTTTTTTATGTTTGTTACCTCAGAACTTCGTCATTTATTAACCGATTTGGACAATTTTTGTTTTGTTTGAAAGGGTATTCTTCCAGATTGGTCCCATTTAAATTTCAAAAAAAAATACCACCCCTAAGGGTGGAAAAATACCTAATGATGGATTTAACCTACTTCTAATTGTCATATTGACTTGAAACTTTGCAAGTGTTTCTATTTCCGTTCATAGTACAGTGGTTCGGTATTGTTGACCTGATCTGATGGTAAGGCCTGAAGGTGGATAGGTGGAACTCTTCTACGGCTAATAGTAGATACTTTAAGCTTGGGCTTATTTTGTTTGATTCGACAAGCCTAACACGTTAGAATTCTTACTTTGCTACTACTGTCTACATTAAAAAGGGAAAAATAAAAACTTTTTAACAAAAAAATAAAAACCGACTTCAAAAAAAAGCACTAAAAAGTAAAAAATAACTGATTGGTAGTTTTCATGTACTATACATACCTAATCAAATATTTTCGAAATCGGTGCCAGCCCATACAAAGCAATTATATACGTATTTCATATATTATTATAGCAATTATATACGCAAAAATATACGTATTTCATATATTTTTTACATGTATAATTAATATTGATATCTTTTTAAAACTATAGGTATCTCTCCCTGACTTACCATATATAGAAGTAGTACATAGTACATTTTTTACCCATTAGTTTGTCTTTGCTCATTTATATATAGATCTATACATATAATAAAAATGTAACTAAGTCGAATCTGTACATTAAATATTTTTTGGAAAATCTAATTGAAATAGACATTATTATCGATACAGAGTCCGAATCTATAGTTTTTAGAATTTTTGTCTGTCTGTCTGTCTGTCTGTCTGTCTGTCTGTTACCGCATCACGAGAAAACCACTTGACAGATTTTGATGAAATTTGGTATGATGAGAGCTGGCTATCCGAGTCAACATATAGGAAACTTTTTACCGCGGGAAAATATCTCATTTCTAAGAAAAAATACAAAAACTGCATTGTAAGAGTATACTACTATTAAAACCTAAGAATTTGGTTATTAGTCATCTGAACGCGGGCGGAGCCGCGGGCAATGCTATTACTTAATATGATTGTCAATAAAGTCAAATAAGTTTTTGATTCTGATTCAAGGCGGCTCTTGAGACTTCCCACTGGGTTTTATTTAGTAATTGGCAGTTAGAACTTTATACCAAGATTCCTTAAAGCATTTTTGGTATTTTAATTGATGAATTTGTAGTGGACGTGTATTAATTTATTTTGTGCCATCTGATGGAAATGAAAAGGTCGAATTTCGATCACCGGGAGGAGGACATTAGTTATATTAAGTTATGATATTATTAAACGAATGGGAAAGTATAATATAAGAGAACGAATTTTTACGTTAAATATTTTTTGGAAAATCTTATTAAAATAGTCATTATTATGGATACAGAGGCCGAATTTACATTTTTTATAATTTTTGTCTGTTTGTCTGCCTGTCTGTGACCACATCACGAAAAACCCAATGGACAGATTTTGATGAAATTTGGTATGATGACAGCTGGTTACCCGGGTCATATAGAATACTTTTTACTTCAGGAAAATATCTCATCTCTGAGAAATCTATACTAAATAATAATTTCGTCATATCCATCTGTTTAATTTTTGCAACTATTTTACTCGGAGACTCCTATCCACTATTATTGATTAATTGAATAAGTTATAATGGATGGTCTCGTGTAAAATATTAAGAAAAATACGACCATTCCCTGTGGTGAAATAATAAAGTAAAACTTTTAAAATAATTTCAAAGTCACTGTACCTCTTTCATAAATCTTTTTCTTTTAATAAAATTTAATTATTTTTTACTAGTGACTCACCCTCGCTTCGCTCGGGTTCGTTTTCGTAGATACGTTTTAAATTAAAATGGATATAGTATGTTATCCTTAAGAGATAGACATATGCCATCGCGGACTTTTCTGTAGACCTATATACACCTTCAACAAATATTTATATTTTAGCCAATGTATACAAAAACTTAACAAATTATGTACTAAAACATTCCACTTGAATCACTATCTATTAAAAAAACCCGCATCAAAATCCGATGCGTAAAGATTTAAGCATACATAGGGATATAAGGACAGAGAAAGCGACTTTGTTTTATACTATGTTGTAGTGATTCGTCAGGCACTTAGTATATAACAAAACCCCCTTAAGGTATATACATAATTCAGAAAGCCATCAGTAATTATGAATTATGAATAACCTTCATATCCAATTGGGGTCGTACCCGGAAACTTTCTGTCGGTACTTCCGTTGTAATGTCAAAGGGGCAGTCAAATTGATTTAAAATATTTAACTACATTTTTTTTAATTTAATTAAGTTAAAATATTAAACTGATTCAGACGGGCATGTTTCAAAATATTTCAGTGAAATAAAATCCTTACTTCTGAAAATATAATAAAATTGTAACTAAGGCGAATTTGTTGTACAGTAGATGTTTTTGGAAAATCTCGATCTTGAAATAAACATTATTATCGATACAGAGGCAGAATATATGGTTTTTAGAATTTTTGTCTGTCTGTCTGTTACCGCATCACAGAAAAACCACTGGACGGATTTTGATGAAATTTGGTATAGTAATAGCTGGTTATCTGGGTCAACATGTAGGATACTTTTTACCCTGGGAAAATACCTCTTTTCTGAGAAAAAATGCAAAAATTGCATTGTAAGAGTATACTAATATGTAAAACCTAAGAATTTTATTTATGGTTATCTGAACGCGCTCGGAGCCGCGGGCAATGCTAGTAATATTATAAATGTGAAAGTGTGTTTGTTTTTTTGTTTGTTTGTCCTTCTTTCACGTCAAAACAGAGTAACGGATTAGAGTGATTTTTTGTGCGGAGATAGTTGGAGGGCTGGACAGTGATATAGGCTACTATTTACTGCGTGAGATTATCTAATTCCCACGGGAACATACATTATAATACAAACCAAAAATTGTTTACGATCAGAATTACTTGAAACTTGTTGAAATTACTTGAAGGTGCGGAAAACAGCCCGAACATACCATACCATACCATACTTGAAACTTGGTATTAATACTCTTCAGTATAATGAAATAAATACTTGTTTTAGCATTTTTCGAAATTCATCCTATAAGGGGGTAAAAAATAGGGGATAAAAGTTTGTATGAAACCAACCTTTTTAGATATATTTTTGAGTTTTAGCGCGAGCGAAACCGCGGGTTCTGCTAGTTATATAATCATTTATTAATTCAGCCCTTTAACATCCCACTGGCACAGCCCTCATGTCAATATGAGGAGATCAGGCCATAGTCCACTACGCTGTGGAAATGCCGGTTCGCAAAAACAAGTCTTTCGATAACTTGTTAAGTTCTTTCAGTATTGCAGGTTTCCTCCGAACGGTTTTTCTTTATCAATAAATAAATAAAATAAATATGTTGAGACATTAACACACAGCGCCATCTAGTTCCATGGTAAGTTACGAGGCTTGTGTTATGGATACCAAATAGTTGATACACCACACTTAAATAACTTTTAAATACATACATATATAAACACCCATAACTGGAGTACAAACATTTGTGCTCACAGCCGGACTCTAACTCACGACCGCTGGTACAGCAAGTAAGGTCATTAGAAACTGAGCCAAACGTGTCGTGACAATGAGGTCACCATGTTGAAAAATGATTGGCATGTGAAAATATCAGAAGTGCGAAATACTATCTTTTCTACAATATGTAATTTTCCTCTTTATAATATTAGTATGGACTAGCGTTTACCTTGACTTGTTTATTATATAAAAATGTCAAATATTCGCATAAATCTAAGAAAGTATTATGAAAAAAGAATCTGTCAAAACGGATTATAAAAATATATTGTAGTACAGCGGGTTGGCGGACATCACATGTTCCCTCAGACATGCAGGTTTGGTCATGATGTTTTCCTTCATAGTAAGGCAATCACATTAAAAATGTTCTTTAAGTAATAAAGAATTTTAAAATATTATAATAAAAATTTAATCTTCCATCTGTCAATGTTTTATCTCGTATATTCATAATACAATATTTTGTTTCAGTTTAACTTCGTGGGTAAGCTGCTGGGCCCCAAAGGAAATTCGCTAAAAAGGCTGCAAGAAGACACAATGTGCAAAATGGCGGTTTTAGGACGAGGATCGATGAAAGATCGCCAAAAGGTACTATTTAATCATATTATAATGTATATACATACATATAATATAGAAATGTCTATTTGTTTTACATGATTGTACGTTTTATTATAGGAAATTAATTAATATATTTAGAGCTCAATTAAAATATTATAGAAAGGCATTCTAAAGAAAGTTTTTTTTGTTATATACGTCATTAGTACTTTTAATTATATATCTAACTAGCACTGCCCGCGGCTCCGCCCGCGTTCAGATGACCAAAAACTAAATTCTTAGGTTTTACATATTAGTATACTCTTACATTGCAGTTTTTGTATTTTTTCTAAGAAATGAGACATTTTCCCGCGATAAAAAGTATCCTATATGTTGACCCGGATAACCAGCTATCATCATACCAAATTTCATCAAAATCTGTCCACTGGTTTTCTCGTGATGCGGTAACAGACAGACAAAAATTCTAAAAACCAAGCCGACAATATTTTAAGATATGAATATCTAATAGGTAAATATGTGTGTTTACGTATCGAAATATATTAGATTTGCTTTGCATCAGCTGGCACCGACTTCGAAAATATCTGATTAGGTATCTATTCTAAATGAAAACCCCCGTTTAGTTATTTTTTACATTTTCATGCCAGGAAGTTGGTTTTTATTTTATTTTTTTTTAAGTTTTTATTCAACTAACTAGTGATCGCTCCGTGGTTGAAAATCAACCATTATTCATTAAGTTTGATCCATATTGAGTTTCCTTTTTTCATAGTTATATAGATAGCCTATAGATCCAGAGATTTTCTCGTACAAACAAACAAACTTTTCATATTTATATTATGTAAGTACTCGTATAATATTGATGAAAGATAACTAACATCATGCTACATCTTTCAGCAGTGAAGTAACTATATATAAATAAAATGCGCGAGCGGATTCGCGGGTAAAAGAAAGTCAATAAATTTTGGCTTTCTGCAGTTCTTCTCTATATAAACTTTAACTATGCCAGAGCTCATACTCCTCCGTAGATGTAATATGCTTAAAAAGGGGTTCAAAATTTACTCTTCACGTATTAATATATAGACAACTAACTAATATAGTTTAATATGTTAAAATTTTTAATTCAGTTCATTTGGTAGACTCATTTTCAATGTACACGAAGGTCGTGGCAGACACGAGATTTACGATTTTTTTACATCTATTTAGATTATACTTGTACTTCGCAAGATTTTTTTATCTTTTGAACTTAACATTGTGGTTATTTTTTAAAGTTCTTAATGTGTATAAATTACTACTATATGTGTATACTAGCAGAACCCGCGGCTTCGCTCGCACTAAAACTACAAAAAGTATATAAATAAGTTTCATAGAAACTTTCATCCCCTATTTTACCCCCTTATGGAATTAATTTCGAAAAATTCATTAATACCTAGTTTCACGTAATTCTGATCATAAATATTTTTTGGATTGTATTATAACGTGTTTCTCATGGGAATTAGATAATCTCCCGCGGTAAAAAGTCTATGTCACTCTCCAGCCCTCCAGCTATCTCCACACAAAAAATCACGCTACTCCGTCACTCCATTTCGGCGTGAAAGAAGGACAAACAAACAAACACACTTTCACATTTATAATATTAGTATGGATGTACTTTCTATATATATAAAAATCAACTGCCGTTCGATAATCTCGCTAAAACTCAAAAATGCCTGGACCGATTTGAATAATTCTGTTTTTGTTTTGTTGACAGATAAACCCGAGCAAAGCCAGGGTGTGTCGCTAGTGCTATATATTTTTGAATATGTTACGCGATATCTTCACTAATTACCGTAATGATAATGATTTTGATAATTCTTGTTTTAATGAATGGTTGTAAAGTAAAGGATGGTCCCATATAAATTTCAAGATTATTTATTAATTACAATTTCCGTCCCAAAGAGTAATATAATTACTTTGAAAGTGGTTGAAAAATAATTGAGAATCTATATAATACTTAATGAGCAATCCTAATATAGCTTTATATAAAATTTCGTGTATCTCGGTAACGTCTGTAACGATTTGGATCAAATTTTGTATTTAGATAAGGTTTTACTTTTTAAGTTTATCTATATAGATGTATTTTCTAAAAAACACAAATTTTCCGAATAACACGATTTTACAAAACATGCCCTAGCTAAGCTAGTTCACCCAGGTACTATAATATATTATATGGGATAGATAAAATATTGCTTTAAAAGCATTAATTGATCGATCACACCGAATTTGGAATAGATCGATACTTGATAGGACTTTAGTAAAGTAATACTATAATTACAAAAGTTTGTATATATATATGTACCTACATATGTGTAAGTGATGCTTATTACTCCTTTACACTCAAAAGGTTGAATGGATTTAAATAAAAAGTACACAGATAACAGATATATACATATATATATATATATATATATATATATATATATATATATATATATATATATATAATTTATAATGTTTCTAGGAGGAAGAGCTTCGCGTTTCTGGAGATCCTAAGTTCGCGCATCTCTCAGATGAGCTGCACGTCGAGATCAGCGCGTTCGCTACACCGGCGGAGGCACACGCTCGTATTGCGTATGCTTTAGCCGAGTTAAGAAGGTTTTTAGTACCGGTGAGTAAAGGTTTAAAAATATTTGATAATAGATACTTTTTGTTCTTGTCTCCGCTCGTAGCAGTTGCTTGGAATGGCTATTTCTATAAAGAAAGCTCAAATATCATCAAATTAGCAACAATAAATTTTAATTTTTTCCACAAAACCATATTCATATTATTAGAATATAGCATCGCCCGCGGCTCCGCCCGCGTTCAGATGCCCAAAAATTCTTAGGTTTTACATATTAGTATATTCTTATATTGGAGTTTTTGTATTTTTTTCTCAGAAATGAGACATATTCCCGCGGTAAAAAGTATCCTATATGTTGACCCGGATAACCAGCTACCATCATACCAAATTTCATCAAAATCCCTCCATTGGTTTTTCTATGATGCGGTAACAGACAGACAAGCAAAAATTCTAAAAACTATAGATTTGGCCCCTGTATCGATAATAATGTTTATTTCAATAAGATTTTACAAAAAATATTTAATGTGCAGATTCGGCTTAGTTACAATTTTATTATAATGTATAGATTAAGGAAAAATAAGTCAAATATATTCAACTTTTCTTATCTTTTCATTCTTATCTATACTAATATTATAAAGAAGTAGTTGGTTTGTTTACCAATCTCAGGAACTACTAATCCGATTTGAAAAAAATCTTTTTGCACTAGATAGCCCGTTTATGGAGGAAGGCTATAGGATTTATATCATCATGGTAGATATTATCCAAAGGAGCGGAGTGATCACAAATATCAGAAAGTCGCCAACAAATTACTATAATTATGTATTACTAACTACGGCTCGCCTATAGACAAACAAAAACAAACCTATCCTACGAAAACCGTATATTTTTCCGGGATTAAAAGTAGCCTATGTGTTATTCCAGATTATAATCTATCTCTGTGCCAAATTTAATCCAGATCCGTTCAGCCGTTCTGGCGTGAAAGAGTAACAAACATCCATAATCACAAACTTTACATTTATAATATTAATGCGGATAGCATAAAGCCAAAGAATTTTTTTTTAGTTTTAGCGCAAGCGAATCCGCGACCGCGGGTTCTGCTAGTTTACTTATAGTATATAGGTAGTAAGTATATTTGACGACACGTTTGGCTCAGTTGGTAGTGATCCTAATTGCTGTGCCAGCGGTCGCGGGTTCGAGTCCCACTGGAGACATTCATTTGTGTGATGAGCACGAATGTTTGTACTCTAGTCATGGGTGTTATTATTTATAATATGTATGTATTTAAAGTTATATATGTGTAGTGTATCAACTATCTGGTATCCATAACACAAGCCTCGTAGCTTACCATGGTACTAGATGGCGCTGTGTGTTAATGTCCCAACATTTATTTATTATTTATTATTATTTTATTGAAAAAATACATTTAACAAAAAGACGTCTATATCCATATTATATTTTCCAATGTCAAGATCCTTTTTAAATATTTAGGTCATACTCTAACCTAACCCCGCACACATGTCAAGCCCTAAATTCACTTCTGAAGGGATTATTAAAGTCAACAAACCGTAAATCTCTCTTTGACGTATTAAGCCACGTAACCCAAAATAAACCAATTTGGTTACTACTGATTGATTTTCGACGCGATTTTACTATCCTTTCTCTTATGGTTGGTTAATTTCAATTCAATTCAATTACTTATTGAATGAATATATGCGTGAATCTATACTAATATTATAAAGAGGAAAGATTTGTTTGTTTGTACCGAATAGGCTCCGAAACTACTGAACCGATTTAGATGTTTGGTAAGAAGATAGTTTGAAACCCGGGAAGGACTTAGGATAGGATAGACTTTTTTTCGGAAATCGTCCCGTAAGGGGGTGAAAACGGGGATGAAAGTTTGTATCGTGAAGCAACCTAGTGACGAATGAGTCGCTAGTAGCTATATACGTGTTAATTGAGCACAAATTATTTCAACAGCATGTAATGGAGTCACGTTGGAGAATTGAAGAATTTAGGTTTTTTTTATTATCTAAGTTAGAAAAGTTTCTTAGTAATATGCCAGGTAAAACGTACTATAATAATATAATCCGCATCCACTTGAATACGTTAGATGGAGTTGGTCTATAAACTATCGAACTATTTTATTTTATAAATGTGTGTGTACTTAATTATTTAAATATGTAAAATTATAATTCTATGTACCTTATACATTATAATAAAATTCTTAGTCGCATCAGTACATTAAATATTTTTTTGGAAAATATTATTAAAATAGTCATTATTATCGATACAGAGGCCGAATCTATAGTTTTTAGAATTTTTGTCTGTCTTTCTGTCTTGACCACATCACGAGAAAATCACTGGACAGATTTTAATGAAATTTGGTATGTTGATAGCTGGATAACCGGGTCAATATATAGCATACTTTTTACTGCAGGAAAATATCTCATCTCTGATAAATCTTTACTAAACGTTAAAACGTAACTACGGAAAACCCGAGCGGAGCGAGGGTTAGTAGCTAGTATATACTATATAAAATAAAGTCGGATTAGTTACACTGTTTATAACTCAAGAACGGCTGGACTGGTTTCTATGATCACTAATATGTTAGATTTGTCTCTACCCCGAATAGCGGAATAACTATTAAAACATCGGGAAAATACATCATCATATTCAGCCTGCTTTCGTCCATTGCTGGACATAGGCCTCTCCTATGGCACGCCACTGAGCTCGATCTTCAACTCTACGCATCCAACCGCTGCCAGCCAGTTTACGTAAAATTCACGATTAAAAAATTCAAATTTACATGGCTAACGCTGGCTAATTAATAACTATATCTATTTAAAACGTACCTAGCGACGAACCCGAGCGAAGTTAGGGCAAGTCGCTAGTTTAAAATATAACAAACTTCATTTTGTATATAATCAATCAATCTTTAATCACAAATAACTCATTTCCTTTTGAAACCTATTTATCTTTTTTGACTTTATGCTAACATCAAAAGAAATTGATACACGTATTTCAACTATTTTTCCTTTGTTTCTGATATAAGATCATATTATCTAAATATAAATAAACAAAGACAAATCAGTTCAGTACCTTTATCTCGTCTCTTTGTTAAGTAATTTTATTTTGTTGTTTAGTAGCTATGGACAAACTTTTGTGATTATAAAAAAAATATATATCGAACTCTTATTATTATAAATGCGAAAATGTGTTTGCTTGTTTGTCCTTGTTTTGTTACAAAAACAAACAAATTAATGATTATTATTCAGCATTAATATATTTTAATTTATTACTGACTAGCGACTCACCCTTGCTCCGCTCGGGTTCGTTCTTACTTACGTTTTAACGTTTAGTATAGATTTCTCAGAGATGAGATATTTTACCGCTGTAAAAAGTATTCTATATGTTAATTTTATTATATGTATCGATTTTTATTGGCGAATATGGATTTAATATATTCGATATTAATAGCGTGCTAAAGGAAAATCTATTTCCCTTGTATTGAAGGGAGATCTTCCGACCTTCGTGCCCAGTAGTAAGACGTTCACAAGTGGCGGATGGTAGATGAAAATAACCTATATTATGTTGACACATCCTGTTTTTCCTTCAAGCTATTATTATATTTAGAGAATTATTAACACACAAAAAAAAAGTAAAAAAATATTGGTAGACTCATGATATTCTATACATTATAATAAAATTGTAATTAGTCGAATCTGTACATTAAATATTTTTTGAAAAATCTTATTGAAATAGACATTATTATCGATGCAGAGGCCGAATCTATAGTTTTTAGAATTTTTGTCTGTCTGTCTGTTACCGCATCACGGAAAAACCATTGGAGGGATTTTAGTGAAATTTGGTATGATGGTAGCTGGTTATCCGGATCAACATATAGGATACTTTTTACCGCGGAAAAATGTCTCATTTCTGAGAAAAAATACAAAAACTGCAATGTAAGAGTATACTAATATGTAAATCCTAAGAATTTGGTTTTTGGTCATCTGAACGCGGGCGGAGCCGCGGGCAATGCTAGTATATAATAAAAGATATAAAAATAAAGATATAGGAATACATAGTTGAATTATGTAGACGGAGAAAACGCTAATGGTCTATAAATTTCTTTAATGTGTTTTAAGTTATATGCATTTATATAATAGGTAAATTGATAACGCGCTCGGTTGGAATACCAAATGAAGCGAGTGTAACGCCTCTAAGATTTTCATATGTGAATCATTTTCAACATGATTACCACTTGCTTATACGGTGAAGGAAATATTATGACAAAATATGCATGACAAGCATGTCTGAGTATGAGAGGACATCGTTTACGAAAATAATATCTAGTCCGACAGCTCATATTTGGCAAGTATGGCGGACTATTGACACATGCCTTCCTTTAATACACCCTGCCATTGATGGAGAGCCTAACATATTTACGTCTATTTTTTTCTTAAAAATTGTAAATTGACGTCTAAACCCCATCGACCAAAAAAATACGAGATACACAATCAGCGACAAACAATGTTTTCACCGAATGAGCGCACATTTGAACATTTTCGCGCTTTTAATTTAAAAAAAATATGTGCAAACAACTTTAAGCATTGCATTTAAAGTTCCATTTATATTGTCCTTTATTTATTTCAACTACAATAATTACGTAAACACAATTGGTGACGGTTTTAAGAGAACTTTTGCATGGGATTGTGTATCTAGTACTTTTATGATCGATGCTAAACCTATATAAAATTTTCTTATTCTTTAAAGAAAGTAAAGGATCTATCTGTATTGCTAACTTAAGAATATACAACAACGAAATGGCGCTACTATTTTTAACTTTGATTTTTTTATTGAAGGCTCTATATAATATTTTAGTCGGAGTTGGTCTAAGCTTAACAGAAATACACACAAGCAAATCCACAGACATTCACTAATCTAAAATATAATATTACAATAAAGCATTAGTTATCACTGCCCATAATGATACTTCAGTGCCACATAAATCCTCTAAACCGTAATAAAACATATTTTATATCTATACCGTATGAACAATCGCAACATCCATTTGCCTCTAATAAAAAACACTTGCTATGAGAACCATAACGTTATACTTGATGTATATATGATAATGGTGCGTATAAATTTGAATAAGCAGGTCTTTTAAGTATTTTAGTTCAGATTAAGGAATAATTTAGAGAGTGTCATAGAACATCATCGTTTAGCTAGGAGGCAAAATTGTAAATCAATATTTTAACAGCTAAGCGTACTATAGTATAGATAGAATAGATAAATATAATATATATGTAGATAGAATATATATCCGCATTTCCGTAGCGGCCAGACAACTAAACAACTGTTAGGTCAATTCTAATTACTTAAAAATAAATTGTATAGGATCAGATATAGCATTCAAGCCTTGAGGTGCTTCCCAAGACGCAAGGTGAAACCACCGTATTCCTAAGAAGTTGGTCTATGAAAATCGATTCATAATTAACAAAAATTCGTGTTCAAACAGAGTAGAAAAAGGTACTGGGCTGATTTGTACCTATTTATTTATTTATATATTATATCCAAAGGAATATTTGTTGGTCTGTGTGTATGTGTTTGTTACTCCTTCAGGCTAAGTCAATTACAAGGATATGGATACAGTTTTTATTTTTCCATTTTTAGTATAGACGTATTAAGGAAGTAATTTGTAAAAAGAAAGTTTTTTTAAATCATATTCGATGAAGTCATTTAATTAAAAATAATTTATTGTTGATTTTTTAAAAACCGCTCAACCAATTTCGATAAAATTTAAATGAGACGACCTAGGAAGTATATCCTTTGAAACAAAAAATATTTTTCCAAATCGGTTCAGGAGCCTTCGAGTAATCAGTGAAAATACATAAAAAAAGATTTCGACGAATTTAGAACCTCCTCCTTTTTGGAAGTCGGTTAAAAACACGTTTAGTCTATGCCCTGGAGTAATATATAGGCTAATTTTAGTTATCTACGAGTATCTAGGATGCTTTCAAGTGAAGTAAGGTTAAAACTAATGTATATTTTATACCTAATGATTCACTATTCCAAACTAAACTTTCAAATTCAGTATAAACTGGCAAACACGTCACACTCGGGCCCTAGAGGGGTGAAGTTTTATTTGTTTCTGGTAAATTGTCCGAAATTTTCGCAACCCTCATAGTAATAGAGGGATGATTTGAAACATCGTAATTTCCCTCACAAAGAGAAAACCTGTGGGCCTAATAATAAAAATTAAAAGCAAATTATTATCGTTATCGTACTATAACGATTTTAACAGCTTTTTTGCCTACTTATCGCTTAAGGTCGACTGAATGTCACCCTTGAGAAAGTTAATGATTTATTTTGGTGCCTTTGAACAAAGAGAAAATATAATAAAAATTAATGAATAAACTCAGATTCATTCTTAAATACATTGTATTATAATTTATTACGATATTTTTGGAGGTCTTGCTTCAAAATTTATTAGATTCTTCTAAAAATAATATTGTAAATGAAGAATATATGCTGACCTTTTTAGGCTATATACGCGCGATCTATACATAATATGTATATTAAAATTGTAACTGATCGCTGTCTGTACATGGAAGATATTTTAACAAACTATTATTAGGGGTCTTTATTACCGCGATATAACCCAAAATAATGATTTTTACAATTAAATATTGTCTGTTTATCTGTGCGTTTGTGCGCGCTAATCTCAGAAACGGCTTAACCGATTTGGTTGCGATTTTCACTAATGCATTGTGGTTAGCTTCACTTAACTTTCAATATTTGTTATATTTAAATCGGTTCATAAATAAAAAAAGTTATGTCTCCTGCGCAGAATTCTGATGGCTAGTCTCAATAGGATTGGCCGCCGTGGCCGAAATCGGTTGGAAGGACATTATTTAAACAAACTGTAAATAATCTAATAAAATCTTCCTTCAATGTTATACCTAAATTACACCATTTTATTACACAGTTCAACGTAGTATTTATTCATTTTATTATTATTATTTTGTTACAGGACTATAACGATGACATTAGGCAAGAGCAGATGCTAGAGATGCAGATCTTATCATCTCAAAACGAGCAAAGACGATTAACACCGCCCGACTCTTCGAGGAGCGGCAGCGAGGAAACTCTACCCCTGCGAGACAACGGGAATAAACAAAGGGTATGCATATAATAAAATTGAAACGTGATTTTTAATTAACTGTCCTCTAAATAAGTTCTTGGGTTTGATTTCCAATCAAGTAAGTATGTTTAGGACTTACACTACCACTTGTGATTGTGAATATTTTAAATATTTATGCGATCATTGGATAATGATATCACTTCATTATATTGGACAATTTCAATAAAACTATCTTTCGGATTTTTTCGCTGATTTATTTTGAATTTTGGTTCCGGACGTTTCGAATGCTTTTCAGTAAAGGGAGAGATTACTGAGATCAATATGTATTCTATATCTAAATCGAAGATAAAATAACGTGACTCTAAAAATGTATTTCAGAAGATGTATAGCTTGAAGTCCAAGAGTTAGAAACTATGTCCTAGTATTGTCACGTAGCTCATGTCTAAAACTAATAAAATACTTGTCTACCTTATAGGCAAAGGATTCGGGTTAGAATAATATAAGCTACTATAATATTTTTTTTAATAATTTAAGTTTATAGTTTAATCCATATTATGAACACCTTAATTAATAATATTATAAATATCAAATACAGCATTTACCTGTTATTAAAAGTGCAATTAACATGTTAAGTGTAGTGCCAAGATTATACGTGTTAACCATTGTAACTTTTGTTGGTAAGTCAATAAATAAATAAATAAATAAATAAATAAATAACGTAATGGACGAGCGATAATCTATACCTAACTATAGTACAATTTGATTGCTTGTTACCTATTAAAGCTTCAACGCCTTGAATTGATCGAGCCACTGCAAATGATAATAATTAATCTCTTTAGATAATATGACAAGGACAGTAAGATATGCCATGTTGATACAGTATGTATGCATCGTATTCACACCATTGCTTACAAAGATTAGTTTAAAAAAGTCGTTAGGTAAATATCTATCTATTCAGCCTTTTTTAACGTCCCACTGCTGGGCACGGGCCTCCCTTCAGTACGAGGGGAATCAGGCCATAATCCACCACGCTGGCCAAGTGCGGGGCGGACTTCACATGTCTTTCGAAAACTTGCCAGGTTCTCTCAGACAAGCAGGTTTCCTCGCGATGTTTTTCTTCACCGTAAGGCAAGTGGTAATCATGTTCCAAATAATTTACACATTAAAATTTACGTGCGAGACCCGGGATTCGAACCCGCTTCACTCGATTTACCAAGCGAGCGCGTTACCACTGGGCTACCACTGCCTTTATATATACTTATACGTTATTCGTATTTTAATCAAATATGTAAATAAGTCACAGTTCAAATACATCACAGTATAAATCCAAAAGGAAATGCATACAAATTTCCAAGAATACGCAAAAATACTCTAAGATTGACAGTTCTATCTCCCATCGCCATTTGGGAATTGAATTTCCTTTAAAGAATCAAATTTATACAGTAAACAAGTGTATCGTATGAGATTGATAGAAAGAATCTGGTTGTAAAAGAGTATTTTGTAGTACTTCGTCTTTGCAATTAAAATTTTTATCTATATAAATAAAGCGGAGTAGATTTTTGTAAGTTTTATACCAATCTACATCGTTCGTGTAATTCATTAGAATTACACGAACGATGTAGATTGGTACATTGGTACATTGGTATAACATTATTATTGATAAAAAATATTGAGTAAATTCAAATTTCAAGATCAAAGGGCATTTAATCACTACATAATATAAAACAAAGTCGCTTCCCGTTGTCTCTCTGTCCCTATGTATGCTTAGATCTTTAAAAATACGCAATGGATTTTGATGCGTTTTTTAATAGTGATTCAAGAGAAATGTTTATATGTATAATACATGCATATTATAGTACAGAAAAGCCGAGAAATACAAAGATTTGTATTTCATACTAACCGTTAAAACGTAGGTACTTAGAGACGAACCTGAGCGAAGTGAGGGTGAGTCGCTAATGCTCTATAAATTTTACTATAGATACAAATACCATGTAATGCGTAGGAAGCGAGATATTTAAAAAATAACACATTTTTCAGGCCTTTCATCTTAAATATCTTAAAACAAGATTATATGAGAATTTTACACATGATGGAGAATACCAAAACAAAGGTTTATACTTTCCAGCGTATTACCTCTCATTTCGAGGTGAAAACCCCTAATATGATTGTACTAATATTATTTAATAGCCCAAACTATATCCAGACCAAAAACAAAGCTTACCGCAAACTTCAGCAATTAATATTTTCTCACATATAATTTTTTATATATAAAACTTATTAATGAACGGAAAACGCTAGAAAGAATACAATAATATTAAAGAAAACAAAAAAAAAATAAAGCGATGTACAACAATGCATTGTCACAAATAAGCGTAACAGGACTGAAAAGAAATGCAAAGACGAAGGCGTGCTCTATCTCAACATAGATGTATAACACCGCCAACTTCCCCACTCCAGACTATTCTAAACCCGTACCCGTAAACATAGAAAACGGTCAAAAACTGCTATTATTATATAAAAAAAATTATAAAGAATGTTTATGTGATAAGGGAATTTGGATATGATATGATCACCTCCAGGGTATCATAATTTATAATAAAAATTGCAGATTTATTCCGCTGAGTTCCTTTCGTCAGTTTTTCTCAGGACTAATGCTTATCCCGAAACGCTCGTAGAGTACTTAGAAGAGACAAATAATAAGTATATTTCTGAAATTCCAAATTAAATGAAGAATTTTAAATTCAAATTTAAACATCAATTCTCTTGATCGCAACAAGAATTCGAACGTTTCGATCTGTAGCCGCATCGAGAGATACGTGGAGTACCAACATGTAAATTAGAAATTGAGTTATCATCGCATTCCAAATTATCTAATCTTATCTCTAAGGCATTCTGTCAGTCTGTTGCTGGCATCCATTCAAATAAGGTAAAGGGTAATTTTGTGAATCGTGACGCTATCTACAATAGTTCTGAGGATCCTTTGTTAGAATAATCGGTTTAGTGTTCCATTTGATATTTGTAGCTTTAGCTATGAAAGATTTAAGCTTTGGAAAAGGATTTTCACATTTATATCTCGAATGGCATACTCTGTTTACGTGAGACTTACTTTAGTTTTCGGGTTTGCTCGTATTCAATCACGCTGGTCAAGTGCAGTTTGGCAGACATCACGTCTTTCGAAAGGTGTTAGGTTTTTGCACGGTGTTTTTCATTACAATGGGCGAGTGATTTGCTTAGGTTTCTTTAGTTTAGTCTTTATTTGTTTTCAATTTCAATATAAGTAAAAATAATATATCCAGGCATACAAAAATCTGTAAGTAATAATACTTTTTCTAGATAACCACAGCCCCGCTGACTCCTGTGCAGGCAACGCTTCCTGCCTTAGTGAACCATAACGCAAATAACAGGGACTTCTCCCCTCCAGCTCCGACTCCTGCGCCTGAGCACTTGTCTGCTCATCATCAGGTAAATATTTATATTCATTCAGGCTTATTGTTTTTTAAGCCTCGTTATACTATGACCCATAATATCAATGGCAGCTTAAATAACCAATTAAAAATTAATAATAACAATAATAATATTCTTTATTGCGAAAAACAAAATTACAAAAAAATAAACACAAAGAAAAGAGGCACAGCAGGCGACCTTATTGCTGGAAGCGATTTCTTCCAAACGATCTTGAGATCGAGGAAAAAATTTTCATAAAACTGTAGGCGGTGTACTTGCTTTGACACGTTTACGTATATTAATACTTATAGATATATAGATACATATACAAATTCATACATACAGATATACGTTATTCAATTAACCTCTTGTCACTTTTATATGTACTTGAAATATTAGTTTAAACGATGTGGATGAATTCGTATTCTAGGGCATAAAGTGTTTGAGTCTACCAGCAGTTCAAAAATTAATTGACCTAAACCACTTTCAAAGGACGAGTGCTTTTTATAAAACCTTATTTATACCTATTATTTATAGAAAAATCAAAAAGAAAAATCTGTCACTTTTGCTTGTTTGTACACGTACTTATCTCTGGAACTACCTTCTGTGAGTTCAGTTCAGTCTGATTTGAACAATCTTTTTGCTATAGCCTTCTTATTGAAAAACGTAATAGGCTATCTAGCATTACGCTGAAACCCTTACATAGTAACATCTACGTTAGAATACTTTTCAATTTTTTTTTTCAAATTAGCGATTGTAGAAAATAAACTTAACTAAAATCCGAATTGGCAAGTTTTCTTTCTATTTTTGCAAAAGGCTCTTAAGTATGACGTTGAATACGATTTTGTTGGCTATTATATGGCTTGTACAATTCGAATAAAACAAGGAAGAAATATATAGAATATTGCACTTATTACAAACATTTATCACTCATATTATTAAATTTTAAATAAATAATTACATTTCAAAATAAAAACTCTAAAACGGCTGGACCGATTTGAATAATTCTTTTTTCGTTTTGTTGGAGGTGGTTTAGGTAAAAAAATAGCAAAAAAAAAACAGCTGGAAAATCAAAAAGTTCAGAACTGTTTATTTTGTACTTATATACATATATAATATATAGTCTATCTATTGCATACTAACCGTTAAAATCGCTAATTTAAAATAAATATAACGATCTTGGATATAAAACTTTTAAAATTCCCTTTCTACGCGAGTTATCTTTTTGTTAAAACGTGCAAAAGTTTTTGCTACATCAATTACGATTTGTAAAACTTTTTTTACATTTTATCGTCTATATTTTATTGAAAAAAATTATCTAACCAAGCCTAAAATTTTATAGCCTATTTGTTGAAAAGGCTATTCAATAGAATCCTAATACCTTTAGGAGCGAAGTAATTATCCAAAAATACGCAGAAAGAGCGGCGGACTACACTATTTTATAATAAAAAAATTCATGACGATAACTAGTTTATCGCTTTTTCTTAGAAAATAAAGTGCTACATTCAATTTACCGATAACATTAGGCCAAATAACTATAATTATATTGCAAGGTCAACACTTATAATATGGCGATAACCCAGTTGTGCTACTTATTAAAGTGAGTAATCTTGAGAGCCTTAATAAGAAATAGAAATATTTAAGTTCGTTGGCTAACGAAGTTGTTCACATTGTACAATCTACCTACATATGGCAAAGATGCGAATATATAGAATTACTAGAAGGAACAAGATAAGGATGCATACCTCTAATGTAGAGGAGGTTTGAAAGTATCATCAGTCTTCTTTGTCTTCTTCGTTTTTCTCCTTTCTGTCTGCATTCAGCTCTTTTTTATGCCCCACTGCTTGGCACAGGCTTTCCTTCAATACGTAGTGTTAATGGGGATTAACTAAACCAACATACTGGCAATGTACTGGTTTGCGGACTATACATTTCTTTGCTAGGTTCTCTCAAACATGCAGGTTTCGTTACGATGTTTTCCTTCACAGTAAGACAAGTGGTAATGATGTTGGAAACGATTCGTACATGAAAATATCAAAGGTGCGAGGCCCGAGATTTGAACCCGCTTCACTCAGTTTCTGCAAACCAAGCGAGCACGTTACAATTGGGCTACTACTACTTCTCTTTTTGTCAAAAATTCTCTTTCTGTCAAAAATATATATTTTAACTAGCGGACCCGACAGACGTAGTCCTGTCTACACGTCTTTAATTTGAAAATTTCAAACTTTTTTTAATAATTTTTTTGATGAAAATTATTATTCAAATTGTGAATCTAAACCATTCCCAGATCCCCTTGAACACACACAAAAATCGGTCCAGTCGTTTGAGAGAAGTTCAGTGACATACACACTCGCAGAAGAATTATATATATAAAGATAACTGGGATTTAAATGACCCGACATATCTTTATCGTCTAAATTTACATAAAAAATTTAAACAACCCCAACACTTTAAGACAATTAACATTATTTTAATAGCTCACGTTACGTACAAATTAAATTAACATCTGGTTTTCAGAGAAACAATTGCATTTTAGAGTAGATAGGTTTACGAGCGTACGCCATGTCCAAGCTGCCAAACATAACAGACTACTAAAGACGTCACTTACAACTCCATCAGTGTTACCCGCTCTAAAATACACATAGACATAATACTTTCTTAGATTGACGCGAATATTTGACATTTTAAATAAAATATCTATTACGGATTTTTTCGTGGACTTATTTTGATTTTTGGTTCCCGACGTTTCGAATGCTTTACATCAAACATGGTCACGGGAAAGACTCAGGTGTTAGATGTTTCAAAGGTATTATAACATAGTTGTTACAGACAGCCTACAAACAAATAACAAAATGAATTCAAAAAATTGAAAAATAGCACCAAAGTACCTAACAATATTTTTTAATTTTAAACATTTTTATCATTTTAATTTTAAACTTTAATCATTTTAATAGATTGAAATAAGCAATAATTAGTAAATAAGCCTGATCAGTTAACGCGTGCCGACATAATTTAGCCCTTTTTGACGTCCCACTGCTGAGCACTGGCCATACCTTGCGAGGGAGACTAAACCAAACGCACCACGCTGGCCGATACGAGCACAAATAATCATAATTGGTACCTGGCGACCAAGCTTCTCGTTGTGAAACTGCGTTTAAAAAAAATGATTCAAATCGTTAAAGCCGTTTGGATTCGAGCGGGTTAATGAACTTTACATCTTCACACTTCTGAGAACTTGTTAGGTTCTCTCAGACATGTTTTCTAACTATATTTTCTTTTACCGTATTCGTATAAGATATGATTGTATTGATACTGCTGATTCCCAGATGAAGAGAAAGAAGTAAAATATATGTATATCTTTATAAAAGAAACTTGATTTTACCTGCGTTGAAAAGAGTGTTTCGAGTGTATGAATAAATGGATGAATGTTTTTTTGACACGTTTGACATGTGTATATTTACAATTATTTATGTACTAGCAGAACCCGCGGCTTCACTCGCTCTAAAACTACAAAAAAAATCTAAAAAGGTAGGTTTCATAAAACCTTCATCCCTTATTTTACTCCCATCTGGGATGAATTTCGAAAAATGCTAAAACACGTACCTATTTATTTAATAGTATTGAAGAGCATTAATACCAAGTTCCAAGTAATTCTCTTCATAAATATAATCTTTTATAACGTGTTTTCCCATGGGAATGAGATGATTTCCCTCGTTAAAAAGTAGTCTGTGTCACTCTCCAACCCTCCAACTCATACCATACAAAAAATCTCGCCAATCCGTCACTACTTCGACGTGAAAGAAGGACAAACAAACAAACACATTTTCACATTTATAATATTAGTATGGATTGTTCATATTTTACTAACAAGTCTGCTTTGTCACGTAATTGACTTAAGCTCTACAGCATTGTAGAGTTAGCACTAACTGACGTTATACCGTTAAAAGCTACATAAAGGTCGTATCACGAGAAGTCTCGGAACACTAACAACTCTCGTTTAGGCATACAGATTTAGGTCAGGCGATGCGTTGTATAACAGATTTAGCAAGTTTAAAATTGAGTTGACCGATTAGAGTAGTGGTGGTTTTATTACTAAGTTTATCGTGGGTTCTATTTTGCCACGAGGTAAATTGTTGCATTTTCTACACAGGCTACCTACCGTGCGGATGCTATTAGTTAGACTTAGACTGACTTTCATTGCATTTTTTTTCTAAAATAATAGTAGCCTAATTTAGTATTTATAACACCAGCTACTTGCCAGTAAAAGTCCTGTCAAAATCAGTCCAGCCATTTCGGAGATTAGTCGGAACAAACAGCCAGATAGACAGACAAAAATTTAAAAAAACGTTGTTTACTTATTAATACCGTATATAATTTCATATATGTATATATTTAGTAAAAAATCTGTTATTTTGACATTACAAACAGACACTTCATTTTTATCTATCTGTAGGTCCAGATATTGTAGAAATGGATAAAATCATCGATATCAAATAAATAAAAGAGGAATATCAAATAAATAAAGGCATCTGTAAATTTCCGCAAAGAACGTATTATTGACGCTTAATACACTTCAAAACTTAGATTTGGGTAAGTCTAATAGATTTAGATTTTGGGGTGAAATTATGTACAAAGTAAATACATTATATTAGAGAGCGTGTTTGTTCGAAAGCTCTTACTTAGTAAAGCTTTGAGACTTCGCAACACCTGTTACTTTAAATAAGTATAGCGACCCTCGACTCGTAAATTAAATGCCACGATTTGCAGCAACCATTATAAATTGAGCTGTTGTTATGACCATTTATAAGCTGTAGATAGCTCGATTTAGTCCATATTAATTCGAAAGTGGCTAGAAAATAGCCCGATTTCTATGCCTTTGGTATACGAAACCCTAAAAATTACATAACCATGGCTTAATTTCCCATACAAAATATGCCCATATAAGTAACTATCGAATAAATGAAAAAAATGAAATATTCTTTATTGCACACCATTATTTCACATTATATAGTTTAAAC